TATCTTACAATTTAAAATTTTTTCGACTAATATTAAATAAAATAATGAAAAAAATTAATATTTACTAAAAGATATTTTTTGCAATGAATTATCTTTGGATAAACGAATTTCATAAATGTGTGCAAAAATGTTTGAACTCACCTAGCTCTCAGGATATGGCGAAATATGCTTAACGTACAATTAGCATTGAGGGGTATAAAGTCTAAAAATATTAAAAATAATAGGCTAGCAAAAGCGTGAATAAAAGTAAAAATATTGAAAAAATAGCGGACTAGCAAAAGCATGAATAAAATAAACTAACACATAACGAGATAAACAAAAAAATAAAAGCAGACGATAAAATTAGAAGACTTCTTGTAGAACAACAGAAAGTTGTTAGTTTTTTTAGATTGTATTAGTTTTGTTTTGGAATTTGAGTTTTCATATAACCCGTTACGGGTTTTTCTAGTTTGTTTTATAATATTTAAACTATCGCGTTACGGGTACTTCACATTTGTTACTGTTTGTGTTGTTTGTGAATAAAAGTTTTTTATAAACAGAACTGTTATTTATATAGCTTGATACGTTACCAGGGTCTAAACTTTGGACCGCTCTCCCGATCAAACCATTGGGACCATATTTCACAGATTGCGGCTACTTAGTATATTTTGGGAATTAAAAATCGAATCCATCGAAAAAAATTTATGTTTATTCAGAGAAAGTTCATTTTTGTATCTGAGTTCGTAATTTTAAATATCGTCTGTTCTAGTTAACTACCTTATTTGTCGTCATCCTCTCGTACCATTAAGATTGAGTCATGGAACATGAAGATCTGATCATTAGATCAAAAGTTATTCAGGGTGATCCGTTTGTTTATTTATTTTGCGTACCGTACTGTAATTTGTCAGATTTAGTTGGGGTTTTTGCTTTTTTTCTTCGCAAAAATAATAATTTACATTCGACCTCTAATGTGTATACCTTTATATTTAAGGATTCTGAAACTAAATATTATGGGCGGGGTCTTTAAAAATTCCATTGTATGTTGATAATATTAAAACCAATGTAGTGAAATATCTAAATGACAGTTAAATTTCGAGAGATTTAATTTATTTTTAATGCGAGACAAATACAAAACCTGTACATTTTTTTTAAAAAAAATATTCCTTAACACTTGTTTGAAAACCGTTAAAAAATAATTCGTGATATTTTTTTACCTTATAAAAGGAATAAGATTGAAGTGAGCTTTCGTAATCCAAAGAAAAGACTCAATGAAAAAAAAAATTCTAGACTGTTTAACTTCACACACACACAAAAAAAAATTACTCTAGAAGGATCCAATAGCATTTTACAAGATGGTCATATTAAACTTTTTAGCTTTTGAATAGGAACAAACGAACAAAAAAATAATAAATTTAATCATAAAAGTTTTCAATTTCAAGTTTAATTACTAACTGATATCAGTATTGTTTTAAATAAACATTTACATATGTCGTTTTTAAATATCGTTTATAAATATTTAGGATTGTTTTTCACCTGTAAAAATATCTTTATAAGGAAAAGCTAATGTGAGGTAACTTAAGGTCTTAAAAAATGCATAAAATAAAATAAAGAATCCATGTTCTCAAAGTGATTAAAGTAATGTAGTTATTGAATGAGTTAAGGTAAAAAGCTTCTCTTACTAGTTTTTTTTTCTTTAATTTAATTTTCCTTAAATCTTTTTTTTTTCATCTTGTTTTTTTTACTTTACTTTTTCATTTTTCAATTAATTTTTAAAAATTCTTTTTCTTTTTTTTTCTCACTTATTTGTGTTGTAAAAAAACTAGTGTTCTATACATGCATTATGTTTTCATTCATAATTGTAATATTTTCAATATATGTGTATATCGTTGTCATTTTTATTTCTTTTTATTATTCCATTACTTTAAAACATTTTTTGATTAAAAAAATTCGCCAAAAATATTTCTATCAAAATTTTGTTCATTCAATAGTTAGAAAAAAAGAACGTTTATCTTATAAAATTCAATTACGGGGTCTTACAGTAAAATAACCAACAGCAGTCAGTCCATTCAATTTACCATAAAGTTTACGATGAGGACATTCTTTACCTTTACGGTTTAGTATGGTTAAAAATCCATAAAGGCAAAACTAAACCATTTTTTACTCATTTACAACTGGTAAAAAACTAGTTTGAATATGATAAAATTGCAATTAAATAAATTATTTAATTATTTCATCCGAGAAATTTGTAACATATTAAAACTCTTTTCTACTTTCTATAACTTATTTAAAATTTAGCATAGGATTCAGATTTTTAACATCAGTTTAAAATAAGGAATAAAATTTAATTTCAAGTATTTTCAAATATCAAAGAACTCTTATGATTTAAATTTCTTTAGATTATCAAAACTTTGAAGGAAAAAAAAGATGCTAAAATTTAAAGGAATAAAAGATCTAAAATTTGAAATCTTGTGAGCGCAATAAAAGTCATAAAAACAATTTTAATGACTTGAAACAATTTTAAATCGGCATTCAAAAATGCTCTTTTTAGACTGGTTCAAAAAATTGAAAAATAAAAAGTATGTTTTAAATTTAAAAAAAATCTGATCCATTGGATTTTTATACTTTTTTTTTATTTTGATCAGAAAAAATGCAAAATATTTACCGAAGTTGAAATGCTAGTTTAAATTTAAGCAACACGACATACACAAACCAATAAGCGAGTTTAACTTAAAAGGTTTGACCGACGCCGAGAAATCTTGACATTTTTAAATTACACGCAAGAGGATCCTGACCAGCAAGAGAGAATCATTCTTTTATGCGCATAACTAAAATAACATTTAGATATTTAGTGCTTGTTTGTTTTTATCTTTGGAATAAGTCATTGGCTTTTTTAATAGTGATTTACTCTCGCTAATACTATCTCCAATCTAATAACTCAAGTTATCAACGATATTTTCAGAAAATGTCAACGTTTATTAACAAACTCAAGTTTCTATAAATAAAATGCAAATTTAGAAAAAAAAATGAATACATTTTTATTAAATGGATAACACCTGCAGAAAAAAACCGAATGCAAGAGTTATGAATTTATTTTATATTCACAAAGACATAATTACAGTTAATTATCTTGGTATGAGACACAAGAGTACAAGCACGTCCATCTAGATTGGTAACAAATTGAAACATGTTTAAGAATAATAAATAGTCCATAACTAATGGAAAAATAAAATTATATCGTCAGATAAAATGATTAATGATAATTCAGCTTAATGTTCCTTGTTTTTCTTGATGCTTTATGCATTTGTTTCATAATTCCGTAAAAATGTGTTTAGTTGAGTGGAAACCTATGTAATGATGACTTTTTATGTCATGTCATGCTTGGAGAACTAAGACTTCCAACATAAATATTGCTGACTATTCATTTGCATAGATAAAATCTAGAGTTCAATAGAATCTTACATAAAAGAAAAACGCAGATAATGAAAGCATGTTTATATGTACAGGGCATTCCGTAAAGATTGCCCTTAATATGCATTTTTAGAACCCTGATCAAAAATGAAAACAAAGAAGTATACAAATTGAGGATAAAAAATTTATTAAGAGATGGAAAAACAAAAACGCCACCGAAACTTGAGAAATCACAGTATAAAAAGGCAGATGTTATAAAACATAAGTGAGGTTTAATTACGGCAGAAGTTGAAAGACAATTATTACAACTGTAAGTTTCAACAATTGAGTATAATATGAAAAAAACACAACTACTTCGATTTAGTAGGAACAACATATGACGCAATGCTAAACGAATGGAATTTAGTTGCTGTTTATTTAGTTATTGTTATCAGTAGTTGTTGTTATTTGTTTCAGTTGTTGTTGTTTATTTAGTTGTATTTAGTTTCAATAACTTTTCTTTATAATGCAATAAAATCTGGCGAGCAGCTATTTAAACGATCGAACACTTCGTTTGTTTATTTGTGGCTTGAAGTTAGGCTCGCAGAAAATGCCGTTCATGGGTTAAATTTAGTAGGAACAACACAACCTGTGACGTAGGCTATATTATACCCAATTGTAATAATTAAAATGTTTTTTGCTCTAGTAATAATGCGGAAAGTTACTTTCATTATTTTAGTTGCATATAATAACTGGTTACAGTTTTTTACAAAGCTTATGTTTAAAAAGTAAACATAAATTATCTACCACTTAACAATTACAAAAACGGTTAACAAGTTCTTATGTGATTTTAATATGTTTATCGTAAACTGATGCTAAATAAGATAATATTATTTATAATAAAGGGATTTACTTTGTAATAAGTTAGTTTTAAGCTTTTAATTTGAAATAATAGCCACAATTTAAAACAAAATAAGAAAAGGATGATAAATAAATGCTATTACCTTTAAATAATGAACTATAGTACTTAAGGACTATCGTCTCTGACGTCAACACTACGCGTGCCTTGCAGTTTCTACTGGCCCAACTGCCTACAGTGTCCTCTAGCAATACTACTCACAAACAATTAACTGATTTAGTAGATGAGAATAGTTGACATTTCTACGGTGTACTATTAGCGCCTCTGTCATATTTTTATTTACTTCTGTACGATTTTGTGCATGGCTAAATGAACAATAAATTTTCAATTTATTGTTTTAAAGTTGAGTTTTATGATTTTTTTCAATAAAAAATATAACGTGGATTGAATTACGTGGAGTTATATTAGTGTTTTAAAATTTTATTTATGTAGAAGCATAAAATTTTCTAATCAAATCCATATTTTTTTTTTAGATTTTAGTAATATTATTCTTAAAAATTGCTTCTGTCAAATTTTTATTTACTTTTGTTGTCTTATTTATTTCATTTTGTGATATGATAAATTCTATTTTAAACAGAGAAAAGAAAAATTCCACACTATTGACACTTTTCCATATTTTTTCTCCGATTAATTGAAAAAAAAAATAACGGTGTATATGACATCCATATAAATTTGCATTAAAATGCATATTTATATGGATGTCATGCACCGTTATTCAACATAAGAAATAAGGTAAATAGTGAGAAATTAAAATAAACGAAATTTTCTTACATAGTCATTGAAATATGACATTCCTAAAAAAGTAACATCTAAGCATTTGTTAGAGCTAAAATGAAGCAAATTAATTAACGATTACCATGAACTTCATTAATTCGATTAGAAAACGATAAACTCATCAATCTAACTACATAGTAGTTAAGCGTTGTACAGTAGTGTGTTGCTAAAATCATTAGGGCCAGACTGTTAGTATTAAACTGTAGTATTAGAATGGAAACTCTACTCTAAGCATGTTTCTCTGTGATTAGGAATAAAGAAATATTTCACAGGTAAGCAATATAATTTTTATTAATTTCATGCTGATGGCAACCAAAGAAAGCTTGATTTCAAGTGAGAAAACTGGATCATACATTCGTTTTACGAGTCCAAGGAGAATACTAATACATGTAATCATTTCTTCTGATTTATACTTATGTAAATGTATGATGGCCTTACCTTCCTTAGAAATAGGTCCGTCACCAGTTGTCTGCTGCCGGTCTCCTTTACCGTCACTGGACTCGCCCATAGCCATTGAATGAGATGGATTTTTATGAATCTCGTTTACAGGACCACGGGGATGCCAGGCAGGTTGCCAAATGAATCTCCATAATGAAGGACCGCTGCCACTGCTGGCCTTCTCTTGGTCTCTCTCTGGCCGATCGCTTCCCCCACCTTTTCGAAGAGTACCTGACAAAGAAAGAACATTCTGTCACAAATTGCTGAAGAACAATTTTAAAAAAAAGATTGCATACCACCTATTTTGTCTTTTGCTAGTATAAATAGCTCTTTAGTGAGAATTTCTGGCAAACGTATATTACTATAACAAATTTAGAACTTAAAATTTGTAGTTATATTTCATTAAAATTGGAGAAATTTAGCTGGGATATTCTCTCAAAAGTATCTCAGAAACATATATAAAATTTTAATGAAACCTTCGAACCAAAGAATCCCATGTGCATTAACTGGGACAGATGCAAGTTAAATCTGTAGGGGTCACAAATCCTCTTGGTTCCCAGAACAAATCAATACCTCTAGGGACCCTAAATTGGGTCGGCTGTTCAACCACCGTTCAGCGACCGTTATAAAATAAAATTAAATACCCCCGGGAGTACTAATCCAGGAGTTAATTAGTCTTCTGGAATGGGTTCAAAGTTACAAGGCTACGAGTTGAACATTGGTAGTCGTAAACTGAAATTTGGGTCGGCTGTTCAGTGACGTTGTGAAATAAAACTTCAAAAAAAATCAATATGATAAACGAAATTATAAAGGCAATTTCCCGTTGTAAAGTTTCAAAATTACTGAAGTAAAAAAAATGTGGAAACAATATAACAAGCGCAAGTTAAATAAATATAGAACCTTTATGATTAGAGAGTTATTATAACTACAGACTCATTATAACTAAAAAGAGATGAGATATGATAAATTTTTTTCTGCCAAATTTCGACTAGTAGAAATAACATGATTTAGCTTCTACTAGATTCATAGACAACTGGCTATCAATAACTAGCATGAATTACACTTAGAGCTATGGCAGGAATAAAAATCACTCGAAAACGATTAGTATTTTCATTTTTCAGCATTTGGCTTTTTGGCATTTGAAAATTCACAGCTAATAATTTAGATGATCAAAATTTAATGGGTAAAAAATTTCAATAAATGCATTATATATGCCATAATCTATAATAATTTTGTCTCTTATTGAAAATGTGCTCACTAAAATTAAATGGATCTTATAATTTAACTGTTAAAAATAGACTTAAAATTGCGCAAAAAAAGCGAAATGTGCGAAATGTGTGAAAATGAAAAAAAAGCGAAAACAAGAATTATGAGTTAAGCACTGAGACTCCTTAAATGGCAATTTATTTAGTTATAAATTTACCATATTTAAACAAAACAGTCAAATGACGAGAAATAAGATGGTATTCAAACTGTTAATTGTGAGTAAAACCGTTTATTCACTCACGCACAGATGGCAGCACCATTAATCTGCTCAACATAAAAAAAGTTTAGTATTCCTAATCTCTTACGATAGGAGAATCAGCCAGATAAATTCATTAAACCACAACTCACGGTTAATTTAATAAAAGACAACTCAACCACAACCAAACTCCAATGCCTATTACCTAACGTAAAGACAAACTCCAATGTCCGGATAAATTACATTGTTATAGTTTGAAACTATGCTTGTTGTAAATGGTAAAAAAAATCGTATTGTTTAGTATTTATAGTTTTATTAACCATATTAGTTGTAAACGGTTTCAAAATGGTTATTTGTATTTGTATATAAATTCAAATAACAAGCAAGATCATCAAGAGAATTGTTATATTTAAAATGCATTAATGGATGATTTAAATTTCCACAATAACGAAACTATTAACTAGAAACATTTACAATATTTATTAATAAGTAACGAAAGCAAATGGGTGACGTAATCAATGTAATCAAATTAAAAGGTAAATTTCTTCAAAAAAATTAAGAAACATCAACAAGACGCTAGGGCATCATTTAACTGAAAAGAAAGGCATTTTTATTCTAGATTTATTTAATACAAAGAAGATTTATTTGTCGGCTTGTTTTACATGATTGAAGGTAGCCTATACTTCCTGATAAATAAATTCCTCATTAATAGGAATATTAATGAATGGGAGGACTTTTTCCAAGCAGTTATGCATTATAATTTAAGCATAAAACATAATTGCTGAATTAATAAACACTTATATTCGGAGTAAACACCTATTGAGGTGTGCTTCAGGTGAAATCCTTACATGCGCTTACAAAAACACATTGTTCTGGTTCACTCATATTTTAATACACGCAAAAACATGTTCCCTTCATGTTAAAGTGAAGATAGTAGTAGTAAATAATGCTTCTGATGTACATGAAAAATATTTATTATTATCTTAGTGAAATGTAAAATAAAAGAAAGTTTAACATTCTATAATATAGTTTTGAAATTACTTCCTGCATTAAAACTACTTTAAAAGTTTTCTTTTAACGTGTTTAAAAACTACCATATTATGTTTCATACAACTAGAAAGAACTTTTTAAAAATTTAATCCCTGTGTGAAGAAAGAGCTTCAGTCCTCCAAACTACTTTTCGGTTGAGTTAGTTAACGCTTCCTTTTTCCATCCTTTATTATATGAAACAGTTACGAATGAATGTTACATAACCTAGTAGAAAATCACCTCACAGTGTTGATGTAAAATATCCTCAGTGGTTGACGGATCATTAGTTAGAATCCCCTTGCCGCCGGGCGAACCGTGGAAGGTTTCCCTTTCCATGTCAGAAATGCGGGTTAGTTCTAACAAAAAGTACTCCACGAGGGCTCTTAACCCACAACCGGTTTAGAAAATGGGCAAAATTCTGAGAAGGTCTCTGCGCAATACGTTCTTTCCTTATTTATATTAACATGGAAAAATCGATTTTGCTATGCGGAGAAGATTTGTTATATTGCAGGTTAAAATATGACTTTTTGCGAGCAGAATCATCAGTCGGTTAAAAGTTGATCCAAGAGTTCCCTTGTTTTCTGGGTTGGGTTCAAAATTATAAGGTTACGAAGTTGAACTTTGACAGTCATCATAATATTCATCATAATTAGTCATCATATAATTCATCATAATATTCATCATAATTATCATCATAATTAGTTTGTAAGGGAAAAACTCAGAATCGGGTCGGCTCTTCAACACCTGTTAAGGGTTGAAATGTTCAATAAGAACAATTGCACTTTAACTAACGAATTATTTAGAAATTTCCGGGTGAGTTATTTCAAAAAGCAGCATTTCATTTTTTAAACCAGAGAAATTTAAAAAATTTTAAGAGAAATTTATTTTAAAAAGCAGCATTCATGCACTCACAACGTGTGACAAAAAATAAAACATCGGACAGGATTCTTCTTAATTTAATGATTTAATCTGACATGTTCTGAAATGACATTTAATGAGTAATTATTTTATTTCTCAGCGGCGTCTTATTATGATTCACAAAACTACATTAAAAATTTCAGCTGGAATAAATCACCTGTCACTAACCGCGTCATTTTCTGCTGTTCAAATTAAGAATTTTCCTATATTTAGCGATAATTCATCAAATGTGGCAAAACACTCGGTTAAAGCAGAAATGATCTTTGTTGATGAAAAAAATTTATCATCTTCAACAATTTATCATCTTCACGATTTAGAATGATAATTCACATCACCTTGTTAATTCAAATCACCACATCAACTATTATTAGCTATTGAAAAGCGAAAAACTGTCAATACATCTAAATAATAGATATTATATGATTTATTAATGATCATTTCTAAGGTCGTTAAAGATATTATTTGGATCGTTAGTGACTAATGAGTATGTTGCATTAATCTCGGTTTTGTTAAACTTAATATACTTTCACTCTTATTTTTTAATATATGATATCCTTTTAACCATGATTGCAATAGTAGAATTTTAATAATGCTGAATAGTGGTAATTATACTGATTAATAAAGGGTAATAGTGGTAATATACGCAAAAACACGTTCCCCTCATATAAAGTAAAGATTGCAGTAGTAAATAATGCTTCTTATGTGAAAGAAGAATATTTATCATTACCTTAGTGAAATGTATTATTATCTTATATATTATTACTATTATTATTATTTTCTTTGTGCAAGTAAAAGAAAGTTAAATTTTCATAGAAACACGTTTTACACGCGTTGAACAACCAACCCAATATTTGGGTTTACGACTACTAATGTTCAACTACGTAGTCTTGTAATTTTGAGCCCAATCAAGAAGACAAGGAAACTCCTGGATTAAGTATTGATAGAAATTGATAGAAATTTAGTTCCTTGGACTGCAAGCCGAGAGAGCTAATCTGTCAGTCTCATGGACGACAGAACGGGCTTTCGAGTACGCCCGTATTCACCAACACGGATTACCTCCGGGTAATCTATGGGTAAGAGTAAAATCACGAGTTTAGTGCGAAACGTTATTCTCCAGCCGAAATTTCGCCAAACTCGCAGATTTCATCGACAGTTCTGACTCTCCGGGAAACCCTCCGTTTTTGCCGAGTTATCGGAGGGTAACCTATTCACGAGGAGCTTGTAAACAAACAAGATGGAGGATTCTATCGCTGCGTTTGAGCTTGAAGATCTTGAATTTCTTGAAACTGTTGAAAGAAGGGAAAGATATGTCCCAACGATCAGAAATAATGACCTAGAAGAGTTAGATGAAATAGACTTTTTTGAAAGATATCGTTTCTTAAAACCGACGACTGAAGAACTGATCTCCAAAATTGGCAGTAAGTTGGAATCTGATACAGATCGGAACAATGCCTTAACTCCAACGGAAAAAGTTTTAACTGCTGTAAGATTTTATGCACTTGGAAACCAGCAAATAACATGTTTATATTATATAACAGCACGTGTTTATATTATATACAAAGTAACATGGTTTTACCTTGCCCAATCAAAGGCCTCGTTATATTTCCTCCAAGAGTTAAACTCGAGTTGTGAAATCCTCTGTTGAAACCGGTTGGAGAATAAAAAGCGAGGGTTAATCCGAGAGTAACTCTGAACCGTGGATATTCCGATCCCCGAGTTACTCTTGAATTTAACTCGGCGTGGTGAATACGGGTGTAAGCGTTGATTCGGCAGTATTCAATACATGAAGCGTTTCCAGTGTCCTACACTCCCCAATGACCAT